AGGCAGGGGGTTCACAGGGGCAGGGGGGTTCGGATGGCCAGGCAGGGGGTTCACCTGGGCAGGTGAGGCTCAGGGGGGTTCGGATGGCCAGGCAGGGGCTTCACCTGCGGACGGCCCCGCGGGGTTCGGGGTACCGGGAGGACGTAAGACTGAGGACGGGGCTGGTGGGGAGCCACAGCCTGGAAGGGGAATGGGAAGCGATGGGAAAAGCGCGCTCAGCTCCCCCCGGTCCGAGCACGTGGCCGCGGCGGGGGAGATGGCGATTAAGGGCTGCAGGCTGGACCTGGAGCGCTGGGAATGGGGATTTCCACTCCCTTCGCTCCCAAGCCGTGTTTGCCACTTTGTGCTGGCATCTGGTGGCGGCGCGGACGCTCCTCGGGGATGTTTTAACGGGGCGGGATGGAATGCAGGTGGCTCGGGGATCTCGGAGCGGGAATGCAGCTCCCCAAAATGATGGCCAAACCCTCAGTACAGGGATTTAGCACAGAAAATTCCCGGGCCTGTCATATTTCCCCGTGGATTGGATGTTGTAGAGTTGGGAAATACCTGAACTCTGTTCTCACTTGAAGTCAGGAGGATCCTGCCCTGACTTTTATCCCAGGGCTCTGGAGGAGTCCAGCGGGTGCGGCTCCCACACTGGAATTACGTCAGCACTGCCCAGAACAAGTTCTTAGAGAGAGTTTCTGGTCCAATTAATTCCCCACATTGTTAAGCAGAGTTTATTTAGACTGGCCTGATAAAGTCGAGCCTTACTAAACCCATCACCTAAGTGCACAGTCTCAGGGGTTGTTTTGTTTACTTTTTCACCCCTTTTTTTGCTGGAAGGGATGGGGAGCTGCTCGGGGTGATGATTCACGTGGCTCGGTGGTACGATATTGCGTCGAGCGTCCTCTCTTGCGTCATGGCCTGGACACAGGCCACAGGTTTAAGGATGAATGCCCCTGATATGTGAGTTTGCTGGAGCTCAGATTCCACATGCGGGAATTCCAGGGGAAAATCCCTGCCTGCATCAGACGAGTGGCCTTGGAGCAGATGACATCAGGTGTCTGCCCGGCGTTGCTTTTATCCCAGTTCTCCTCCAGCCAGGGGCTGGGCGCTGTGCTGGGGTGTGCTTCATTCTCTTCCTTGTCAGGAGTTGCTGCAGGGTCCAACTCCTTTTGGGATCTCCTCAGGAGAAAAACAGATCGGGGATGGAAGCAGGGAAAGTTCAAAGGTTGGTGCTTTCCCGAGTGTTTTCTCTAGACTTGATCCCCCAGGAAGGAAGAGGCTTTTAGCTGATGAGGGTTTCCTGTGCCTCTAATTCCTCTGCCTCCAGGTTTTCTTGGGTTGTTTACTGTGGGTGGAAACTCCTGAATTCCACCGTGCTGGACTCTCCAAGTGATAGTCTGGTCAGGGATGGCAGCAGGGTGATAACCTTATCGTGCACTTGTTGCTGCTCCCTGTAAAGCAGTGAAATCCCGTGGCTGGGGGGCCTTCCCAAACTGCAGAAAATGCTCTGGTGTCACTGTGATCACCTTCACAGCGCAGCAGAGTTCAGGAGGAGAGGAAACATGGAATTTTTTTCCCTTGTGGAAGTGGGACAAGTTGTCCTTTCACTCCCAGGGCTTCCAGGACCAGAATGGGTGAAGCCGTTGTGGCTGAAGCTCCTCAAGAGGATTAAAAAAAGCACTTTATGAACTTGCAAAGGTTCCTAGCTGGAGAAAAGAGGAGCAGAGGTGGATCCTGGGACATACGGAGCCAGAAGTTGTTGGAGGGACACGGATTTGATCCCTCCAAGACAGACTCTGGAGCTGACCCCATTCCCGAGCTGGCTGGGGTTTGGGGGCTCTGTGGTGTGGTCGTGGTGTGTTTATCCGTGCTTTCAGTATCGCTGGTGGCTTTGTGGCTGTGTGTCACCCTCTGCAGCCCCGAGCCCATCCCTGACCTGCTGCAGCCGGTTTGGCCTTGTCCAGGAGCGGGAATCATCCCGCGGAGGGTGGGGGAAGCGGGGACCAGGCGGGACCTGTGGGCAGGGGACAGGACGGCTCCTCTATTGTTCCCTTCAGGGCAGCTCATGACTCACGGCAGAAACATTTGCTTTAAAAGGCGGGTTTTTACCCTCCGTGTTAGGGAGGGGAGGGGAAAAGTGTCTCCTGCAGCCCTTGAGCGATGTGACACCCCGCTGGAGGTAGGGGCAGCTTTATATCCGTGGATATACAGCTTTACATCCACGGATATCCATGGAGCAGCTCTGTGCTGGCTCAGAGACCAATGGCATTGACCTCGTTGGGGACACTGAGGTGCCCAAAAACCCCCTGAGGCCTTTAGCGGCCGTTCATGCTGAGCATCGTCCCTCTGGAGTGACCCAGCCAGGCTGGAAGGAGCTGAGGCAGCAGAAAAAGGGCGTGGAGAGCCGGCGGAAATGTGACTTTTCTTCCTGATCCACGGCAGGATAACAGGGCTAGGCCGTGCTGTCCCCTGGGAGCCCAGAGCCACAGCTCAGGGGTTTCTGGTGGGCACAGGAGCCCTTCCAGCCTTGACATGGGGCCGTTTCCTCCCACAAAGCCGTTCCCCTTCCCGACCCTTCCCTGTGCTCAGAAACTGGGGAAGGAAAAGGGGTCGTTAGGGACTCTTTGCCCTGCTGATAACCTGGGCTGGAATTCCCCTGTGAACCTCCAGGGCTCCTCCAGTGGCTTTGCCAAGGGAAAACTGGCCCTGGCTTGTGAGAAGTGCCTTTGGCTGAGCCATCCCGAAGCTCCTCTCCTGCTTCCCTGGGCACAGCAGCTCTCACCCTTCCTTTTCTCCCCGTGCCCTGTGCACTGGGGTGGTTTTTAACCCGAGTTTTTCTGTATTTTTTACCAGGCAGCCGCTTTTGGAACCAGTGCTGTCACCCTGAGGAGGAGGGACAGCTTGCATCCCTTGGATTCAGGCTGGAGAGGGAAAGATGGTTACTACCTGAAAGGTGACGGTGTCTATTGCCAGAAGTGCCCTGCAGGTGAGATGGTCTCAGCACTGATTCCTCGCTCTGCAGACTCTCCGTGCCCCTGTTCCATGTCCTTGCTTCTCCTGAGGGGCAGCAGAGCTCCAGCTCTGCCCTGCTCCACTCTCATGGATCTAAGCACTCATTATGGGAATATTTCCCTTTTGTTGATGCCTCCTTTGCCTCTGAGTTTTGCTGGTGGTGGAATCACAGAACCTTCAGGTTGGAAAAGCCCTCCAAGGCCACCAAATCCAACCTGTGCCCAATCCCGGCCTTGCCACCGAGTGCCACCTCCAGCCCTTCCTGGGACACCTCCAGGGATGGGGATCCAAGCCTCCCTGGGCAGTTCCAAGGCCTGACCACCCTTTCCATGGGGAAATTCCTGCTGCTGCCCACCCTGAGCCTCCCCTGCCCAGCCTGAGGCCGTTCCCTCTCCTCCTGTCCCTGTTCCCTGGGATAAGATCCCAAATCCCCCCGGCTGTCCCCTCCTTTCAGGGAGTTGTACAGAGACAGAAATTCCCCGAGTCTCCTTTTCTCCAGGCTGAGCCCTTTCCCAGCTCCCTCAGCCTCTCCTGAGGCTCCAGCCCCTTCCCTGCGTGTTCAGAGTTTCCCTTTCTGTCCAGGCACCTACATTGCAGAGGAGTGTAAAGAGCAGAACGGCTCTGGCAGGTGCGAGCCCTGTGCGTACGGGGAGTACATGGAATATCCAAACGCCTTCCAGTGGTGCCGGGACTGCCTGAAGTGCAGGGAAGGTACGAGCTGGGGAGGGGAGCAGGGCTTATGGCTCAGGCTGGGTCCAGCTGGGCTCTCCTGGAACCCTGCAGCATCCCCAGTGAGTGGCTGGGGCTGGAATCTGTACAGCAGCACGTGCCAGACCCACCTCTGTTAATGGCTATGTCCCTTGTCCAAAGCGAGAGCTCTGCATGGAGCAGGAGGATGAGGCTCCCGGCAGCATTGGAAGCTGCTGTGGACTTTGATCCAGGCACTGCTTTTCCCTTGGTATGGGCAGCTGTGGGGCAGGGAAAGCTGACACTCGACAGCAGGGAGGGCTTTGCTCCTCCCCGGAGCTGTGGCTGGGCTGGGGTTGGAGCGGAGGGGCTGGGATGGAGCCGTGTCCCTTGTGTCACACAGATCAGGTGGAGCGGAGCCCCTGCCAGCCCGTCAGGAACACGGTGTGTGCCTGCAGGAACGGCACCTTCTGCCCCCCAGACCACCCCTGTGAGATGTGCCAGAAGTGCCGGCCCAGGTGAGTCGGGTGCCACCGCGGCTGCTGCGGGGTCCGTGCTGGAGCTGCGGCTGCTGAGCCCGCCCTGTCTCCTCTTTCCCAGGTGTCCTGAGGGTCAGGAGGTGCTGAAACCCTGCACACCTGACAGTGACCTGCAGTGCGGCCCTGCCACCAACACTGGCCCCCTCTGTGAGTGGGAGGAGGGCAGGTGGGCTTTGGGATGGGGTGGGCTGCTGCTGAAGGTAAAGCAGGAACAGCTGCTCACAGCCCTGCTTTATCTGCTTCAGACCTCTGGGTCATCCTGGCGATCGGACCTCCCATCCTGCTTGTGATTGTGTTCTGCCTCTGGAAACACCACTGCAGCTCCCCAGGTGAGTGCAGGGGACCCCCAGAGTGCCCACTTTGGCCAGGGGCTCTGCACTGGTGTGGGCTGGGTGGGAAGAGGGACCCCAGAGCACCCATTTTGTGTGGGCTGGGTGGGAAGAGGGTCCTGCCTGGGGGAAGAGATCACAGTGCTGTTTGCATTTTCCAGGGGATGGGAGACCCTCGAGCAGGAGGCCCTATGAAATGGTGGTGAGTTCCTGGGATGGCAGAGGGGAGGGCTCTGTTTGTGGGCTGTGGTGAGGTTCCCCATTCCCTCTGCTCCCCACTTGGCCAGCAGCTCCTGGGAAGGCTGGAGGAGCAGGGGGATGAGGCTCATCCATTTGGGAAGGCTGGAGGAGCAGGGGGTTGAGGCTCATCCATCTGGGAAGGCCAGAGGAGCAGGGGGTTGAGGCTCATCCATTTGGGAAGGCCAGAGGAGCAGGGGGATGAGGCTCATCCATTTGGGAAGGCCAGAGGAGCAGGGGGATGAGGCTCATCCATCTGGGAAGGCCAGAGGAGCAGGGGGATGAGGCTCACCCAGCTGGGAAGGCTGCAGGAGCAGAGGAATGAGGCTCATCCCCACAGGGTTGTGGTAGAGCTGGGCCAAGCAGAGGAGGCTCTCTGGTAGTGCCCTGGGTGCTTCCAGCCCCTTCCTCAGTGCCATTAATGCTTTCCTGGTGGCAGTGCTGGCACTTCCAGGGTCCTCAGCAGAGATCCCATGGTTAGGGGCAGGCTGCGCTCACCCAGAGCTCCTGCAAGCTCGGGATCCGTGGCAGGGTCCTGCCTTCCCAAAACCACCATGGTTTGTGTTTCTGCCTTGCCACAGAGCTCCATGTTTCGGAAGCTGTCGTGGTACAGGAGGGTGAACGTGGGGGCAGAGGACAACGCCGCCAACGAGCGCATACGGAGCCAGCAGCGTCACACGGCCACAGAGACGCCGGTACGTGACTGGCACCGCTGCCCCGCCGTGCCCAGCCGGGATCTGATCATCCTCGGGGGCTCCCAGGGCTGGGCCACACCAGGAGACACTGAAGGGTCTCTCTGTGGGATCAGGATGGCAAAATCTGCTCATTGCACTCGAGAGAGTCCTTGGGGGATTTAATGCTGAGCCCGTCCAGGAAACACGAATGTCCAGGGGGTGCTGGGGATCTCCTGTCCCAACAGCCCTGGGAGACAGGGAGAGGGTCTGCAATCCCCGTAAATCATACACTGGTGCTGGGGCTTGGGGAGTGCTGTAGGACATCATCATTCCAGGAGTGACGTTGTCATTCCAGCAGTAACATTGTCATTCCAGCGGTAACATTGTCCTTCCAGCAGTGACATTGTCATTACAGCAGTGACATTTCAGGAGTGACGTTGTCCTTCCAGCAGTGGCATTGTCCTTCCAGGAGTAACATTGTCATTCCAGCAGTGACACTGTCATTACAGCAGTGACATTTCAGGAGTAACATTGTCATTCCAGCAGTGACACTGTTGTTCCAGGAGTGATATTATCCTTCCAGCAGTGTCATTCCAGGAGTGACACTGTCCTTCCAGCAGTAACACTGTCATTCCAGCAGTGATATTGTCGTTCCAGGAGATGCCGAGTGGAAGCACCAAGAAGAGTCTGGTTCCAGCACCGGGGCACGACCCCATCCTAGGTAAGTGCTGGTACCCAGGGGATATGCTGGGGGCTGAGGTTCCTGTCCCAGCTGCCCGTGCTCGGCCCTGTGCTCTGAGCTGTCCCTTTCCCCCCCACAGTGCTGCGGCGCTCCTTTTATGTCTTCGCTAGAAAGGTCTCCAAGGACAACTGGAAGAAATTTGGCCGCAGCCTGGACCTGGAGGAGAACGACGTCATCATGGCCACGTCAGATGATGGCTTCTATGAGATGCTCTACAAGTGGTTGAGTAGGGAAGGGTCCAAGTCCTCCGTGAACACGCTGCTGGAGACCCTGGATCGGCTCCACCTCGGCGGGGTGGCAGAGGACATCTCCTCCACGCTGGTCCAGGATGGACTTTTTCAGTATGAAACGAGCTGAAGGGAGCAGAACACACACTGCACCTCCCTCCTTCGAGCTACAGCCATGAAATACCTCCCAGAACACTTGAATTTTAGCTGTTTGTAGCCCTCACGTGGCTTTTCTTGTTTTGAAGCCATCAGAGTTCAGCTGGACCAGGAGGAGCTGATCCTCAGTGAAGTACGATCCTCAGGTTCCTCTCTGCTGGAGTTACAGTTCAGTGTTGGTGCTTCCTCGTGAAATCCAAGCTGGTTTTTTGATTTCACTGGGTCAATGCAGAATTTCAAACCATTTCCATCTGCCTCTGGGACCATCTCACTCGGAAGTGCTGGTACTACCTGGACATCCTCAGGATCAGTGCAGAGAAGAGCTTTTGCAGGGGTTTTTCCGCCCTGTGCTTTTTAACTTAACTGCATCATCCTTGTTTCTCTAAGGATTCCTGGCATCATGAAATGGCTTCTGCTTCTAGAACATCTCTGTGTAAGCTTCATTCTCCATGCTTGGTGGTTCTGCAGGCTCAGCTGGAGCCTTGGGTTACTTTCTGTTGACAAAATTGTGTTTTACGTGGTTCTGCTTGCTCTTAGGAACCAGTCTGAAACTGGACTTGGAGGGGAGAGTGGGAATGATTGACTTGCACTATGATCACTGGGGAAAGGGACAGTGCAGGGGTCACCCAGCCCAGTCCCCTGGCAGGAGCAGGGACATCTTCCACTCCACCAGGTTGCTCCAAGCCCCGTCCAGCCTGACCTTGAATGTTTGCCAGGATGGGGCAGCTTATCTGGGCAGCCTTTCTGACGGTGTTTACCCATCCTCATTGTGAAACAATTCTTCCTGATGTCTAATTGAGGCCATTCCTCTATCCTGGCACTCTAGGCCCTTGTCCAGGGTCCCTCCCCTGCTCTCCTGGAGGCCCTTTAGGCCCTGGAAGGGGTGGTGTCCCAGAGCCTTCCCCAGGCTGGACAATCCCAGCTCTCCCAGGCTCCAGAGAGGCTCTAACACCTCCACATCCTTGTGGAGAGTTGCAGGTGGGGTTTCACCAGAGCTGAGGAGAAGGGAGGAATCCCCTGGTGGCTCTGCTGGTCCCAGATGAGCCCTGGTGCTGTCCCTGTGTCCCCAGGCAGGGCGGAGGGGTGAATGCACTGAGGTCCCAGTTACATCGGGGGTACCCCTGCCCACCCCAGCTCCTCACAGAGCTCAGGGAGAGTCTGGCTGGAAAAACAGCTGGGGAAAAACTACTGCATTACTTGAGCTGCCAGCCCAGTCCACCAGGACCTTCCCCAGTGTTGTGGGAGGGTGCTGAGCACCCCTCCTGCTGCCGCCCCCCTTCTCCCAAGACTAAGTCCACAAGCAGAAGTTTTGTACTTATTTATTTAGCAATTGTAAATGTTACATATTTTAACTTAAAAGCTATATAAAAATATCATTTTTTTTGTTATGCATGGTTGTGTGTTTTTCTACAGAGCTCTGGCCCAGCCAGTTTGTTATTTTCCAGTTTTTTACATTTCTCTGTTTATGAAGGAAGAGTTTCGTTTTTTTAAAAAAAAAAATCCTCCTGATTTTCTCATCTGGTTTGATTAATTTTTTCCCCCCAGAACTCTGGTGAGGGCCTGTCCAGGGTCTCACTGGACACCAGGGGCCCAGCGGACACCAGTTGCTCCATGTGGCACTGAGGAGTCAGCCCATAGAATTAATGCTCAGCCACCCCAGCATCCCACCAGGAATGGTCCCCATGAATCCTTTGTGCCAGGGAAAGCCCTCAGCAACCACCCTGGCCTTTATTTACCCTCCACCAAAGCAGGGGGTGATACCTGTCCCTCTGTCCCTCAGGGTGGCACTGCCCCGGGGGGCTCCACCCAGCCAGGGCTCTGTGTGTTGCAGTAGCTGTGTTGCAAATCCATGCAGTGCTTAGTGAGAAAAGGGCTCTGCTCAACCCCCAGAACCTCCCTTGGAGCTGCTCTCCAGCCCCTGCACTGCCAAGGGGAGTTTTTTAACAGCGTGGGGCCAGGATGGAAAGCAGGAGCTGTCGGGTTCGTGCCCGGGGGTCACTCCTGGGTGTTTTACTGTGCCCCTGAGCATGCAAACCTGGGCAGGAGCTCCTGCAGAGCCAGGCACATGCAGGGCTCAGCTCCTGGCCCGGGGAAGGCGAACAGGGCTCGGAAGCAGCAGTGAGTGCCTGGGTTGTGTGAAAAGGAAAGTTGCGGTCCTACCTGCTCGCTGGGGCTGCCAAGGGTGAGAACACCGAGGGTGAGGAGCCACCTCGCTCCTGCATCTGAGGCTGAGGGCGGGCATGCAGAATGAGAGGCTCCAAGGTGCTCCACGAGGCCAGCTGGGAAGAGGAGCAGCGGGGAGCAGGAGGGGACGGCACCAGGAGCATCCCTGGGTGCTCCTCCAGCAGCAGCCTGGGCAGGGATGGGCTCCAAGGAGCTTTCCCTATCCCAGCTGGGGAGGGTGAGGAGGTTTGGGTGCCTCCTGCCCTGCCTGGCAGCTCTGCAAGGACACAGGTGGGACGTGCAGAGTTAGTCTGATGGAAAAGCCACTTCGTGTTGCCCCAGGGGTTTGGGTTCCTGCGAGGCCTCGCTGTCCCTGCCCGTCCCAGGAGTGCTGGAAGAGGGTGATGGCATCACCCCAAGTCTGGCACAAGGATGTGCAAGCCCAGCAGCTTCTCCCACACACACAGGGACCACACTGGGCTTTTAAAATACCATTTATTACAATGGAGCCTTCCAGGCTAAAATCCCAAGCCGGGAGCTTGGTGTTGGTTTCTGGTGTGGCAGGTTCAGGGAGTGGGGTTCAGATGGGGTTGGTTTTTTTTTTTTTCCTTTAAGTTTCTATCTAAACAAAACTGAAGAGTTAAGAACAGGGAAGAGAGGACTCCGGTCCCCTCCGTGCCCTGAATTAGGACAGACCCCACTTGTAGGGGAAATTCTGCAGTGCCTGGAGGCATCTGGGGACCAGGGGGGTCCCCTGCCCTGTGCCTGACCCTGCTGTGAGTCGAAGGGGGTGGCAGGACCCCCACAGTGGCTCCAGGTGGTGAGATGCCATCAGACACCCAAGCCACATCCCAGAGCTTCTGGTTCCAAATCAAAATGGAAGTGCTTCTCATTCTTTGTCTTCTCCTTCCTCATGCTGCTGATGTGCCAAAAGCCAAAATTTCCAACAAAAATCCCGAAATGAAACCACGGCGCAGCCCTCATGCTCCTGTAAACACGAGTTCCTCCTGCTGCTCGGGCTCTGCCGGTGCTGCTGCGGGGAAAGCAGGGCTCCAGGAGCGCCGGGGGCTGGCCCTGAGCCCCTCCCCAGGCCCACCCCTGCAGCCAACACTGTCTGCTCCGGGGCTTGTGCCGCTGCACGCCTGGCGCTGGGGCAGGGCATCCCACCCTTCCTCCTCCTCCTCCTCCCCGTTTCCTCCCAGGGACACTGGAGCAAGGACGGGGCTTTCAAACCACAGCCGAGGAGGAGGAGGAGGAGGAGGAAGAGGAGGCTGTGGCTGCCGACGATGAAGGAGAGGAAGAAGGGGAGGAGGAGGCGTTCCAGAAGAGCCACCGCCTCTTGGGCTGCCGTTTGAGGTGGAGGTAGTCTTCCTTCTCCCGCTCCTTCTTCGCCCGCTGGTAGTGATCCTCCTCCTTCAGGTACCACACCGGCGGCCAGCGGTGCTTCTCGAAGTATTCCTGGTTCTCTGTGGGAACACAGGGGGGGGGTGAGGGCGGTGCCAGGACTGCTGGGACCCCCCTGTCACCTCCCCCTGGCTGCCACTCACCTCCCGACATGGCCTTCATGTCCCGCGGGAACTTGCGGCAGACGTTGTTGTAGTTGGTGCAGATGTGGTGCAGGCACCAGTCGGCGAGCTGGTAGGCGCAGTGGAACTGGGAAAGGATGGGACACCAGCTCAGGGCCACCAGGAACAGGCCAGCACCAGGGATTCACCTCATTTCGCCATGGACATCCAAGGCCAGACCTGGTTGTCGAGCTCCTGGAGCTGCCGTACCCCTGTGTTTGTCACCCCCAGTCCTGCCAGACCCCTGTGTGTGTCACCCCCAGTCCTGCCAGACCCCTGTGTGTGTCACCCCCAGTCCTGCCAGACCCCGGTGTGTCACCCCCAGTCCTGCCGGACCCCTGTGTGTGTCACCTGGAGCCCCCCAGTCCTGCTGGACCCCTGTGTGTGTCACCTGGAGCCCCCCAGCTCTACCAGCACAGGCTCCTGTCCTACCTGAGCCAGCTCTAGGAACACGAGCACGTCCCCATCGATGTCCACCATCATCTGTGCCGCCTCCATCAGGCCGGTGACGGTGTACTGCTCTGCACAGGGGGACACACAGTGTCAGGGGCTGGCTGGGACGGGGTGACAGCCACCCTGCCACCGCCTGGACTCACCTGTGAGAGCCACCAGGTGTGGCAGGCAGAGGCGGTTGGCAAGGATGATGAGCTTCATGTCGTCCAGGTCAGGGCTGGAGCTGAACTGCCCCGTGTACAGGTACTCCAGGACTGCCCGCATGCAGCTCTTGCTGGTGTGAGGAAGTGCCACCTGCCAGACACACACTTTGTCACCTCCTGGCCGTCCCCAGCCATGCCACCCTCCTGGGCAGCTCTCCTCACCTCGTTGGTGGAGCTCTCCACGAAGGGGCCGCCGAACATAGCGGCCATCCAGTCGCAGCTGGAGATGAGCAGGGGCTTGTGGGCACTGATAGCACCGTCATCCAGCACAAAGGTGACATCTGGGGACAAGCAGAGTGGTGCTGCTGGGACCAGCTCTGTCACCTGGGCCACACCTCGCCCCAGGGGACAGCAGAGGGAAGGGGATGGAGCCTGGCATATCCTGTATTTCTCCCCAAAAATTTCTCTTAGTTTTGATCCTGCATTCCCTGCCAACCCAGAAGAGCTCAGGGAAGAGCCTCAGCAGTGTTCTGCCTATTCCAAGGGGTTTTCCCAAGTCACTCCACAACACATTTGCCAGCAAGGGGAAAACCTGGGAAGCAAATGTCACACCCAAACTTGAGTCCTTGGAGGGCTGGGAGGGAGGCCGGGGATGTCCTGCCTCGCTCTCCACAGCTTCTCCCAGGGGTGTACAAGGGCCACCACATATCTGTCCCTGCCAGGGACAGCCTGACCATATTAGGATCCATCTCCATGAGACAAATCCAGCCAAAGGGAGGCTGGGACATTCACGTCCCCCTGGGATGTCACCTCGTGCTGGTGGCTCGTGGTGCTTGCTGGAAAGCTGGGGAAATCCTACTAAGGGCACTCGCTCCTCATAAATCAGGGTGACCCCGTGAAAATCTGGGCTGGGAGAGAAGGAAGTCGTCTTTGCAGCTCTTCTGTAAATAAACAGAGCTGCTGGGCCAGCTGGGGAGCAGGAAACCCTGGGGAAGGGCTTCACTTTCTTGGGAAAAAAAAAAAATTACAAAAATCCCCAAATGGCAAAGTGTGACCAAAAACCCCGAGGGAGACACAGCCACCCCCTCACACATGGAGCAAAGCCAGGAGCTCCCAGCCCCCACCCACCCC